TCGTTCTCCTCTCTCCCCTCTCCCAGATCTCGCTCGTCACTCTCCTAAATCTCGCTCGCCTCTCTCGCTTATACAAATAGAAACGAAATGTATAAATTGCGCTTCTGTTTGTATAAAGCGAGAGAAAATTGTATATACAAATACAAATACATATATTTTCGTCCTATACACTTATGATTATACAAATACGATCTTCCCCGAATTATACAACTGTTTTCTTTATATATGTATAGCGAATTATACAACTGTTTTCTTTATATATGTATAGCGAATTATACAACTGTTTTCTTTATATATGTATAGCGAATTATACAACTGTTTTCTTTATATATGTATAGCGAATTATACAACTGTTTTCTTTATATATGTATAGCGAATTATACAACTGTTTTTTTTGTATATGTATAGCGAATTATACATATATATGTTTGTTATGGAGCGCAATTATGCAAACTTTGCTATAACACACAAATATGAATTTTGTGTTTGCTATATGTGAAAGTTGCTCTATATTTTACCGATCGGCTAAAATAATTATAAAATCGATTAAAAAAAACAATTTTGTATAAAAAATGTGTATTTTGTGTATTTCATATAAAAATATACATTTGCTAGCTATTATTTTAGTTGTTGGTTATGTAGTGTAGTTTTCCCCTTATTTTACTACTCTTTTCTTTTTGAGAAATTGGCATGTGTATGTTAGAATTTTTGACCAAAGTAAGCCATTATTAAAATCAATTCACCAAAATAATATGTTTTTTTGAAATTTTGCAAAACTAGTATAAATGTAGTTCTCAGTAACGTTTTAGATAATATTTTATTCAAAAAAATTCAATAACTAAAAGACAATAATCTGACAGAGTAAACAGACATAAAACGTTATTGTTAGTAACGTTTTATAATTCGCTACTCTGAAGCACGTTTTACAGCTAAAATGTGACTCACAGTAACATTTCTCTAGAATGGTGAAAATTGAAATTCAATCTTGTACCCGCCTCATTCATTATTCAAATTTCCATTATTAAAATGGATAGATATATTTTGTACATACATTCATTTGAAATATATATGATTTTCTCTTTTCTTTCTCTTTTCATACATAGACAATACATTTTAAAACAAAAGTAAAAAAAAAAGGTGAGGAAGACTTTGCACAAATTGGAGCTTGTCTCGTATCATTTCAATTTCAAATTTTGTAAATGAATCATATGAGAGATCTTCTTCTAGCCTAAGATAGCATCCCTTTCAAATATTAGACCAATCGGTTTCTTATAATTATTAAATATTAGACTATCAATAAAGAAGCTATTGAATTAAAATTGATGTAATAAGTAAGCAAAACGCCTATTAAAAAAAAACATAATGGCTACATCATAATAGAAGAGACAAAGAAATTAATTGATATTGTAGTAAAGCCCTCCCCACAACTTCTTTTCCTTACAAAAATATTATCTTATATTCATTTTAATAGTGGAAGTTTAATAAAGTTGAATGAGGCATGTACAAGATTGAATTTTAATTTTCAGTCATTCCAGAAAAAAATGTTAATATGAGTCACGTTTTAGCTGTAAAACGTGCTTCAGAGTAACGAATTATAAAACGTTACTGACAATAACGTTTTATGTCTGTTTATTCTATCAGATTTTTGTCTTTTTGTTAATGAATTTTTTTTGAATAAAATATAGCCTAAAACGTTACTGAGAACTATGTTTCTACTAGTTTCGTAAAATTTCAAAAAAAAAGTATTATTTTGGTGAATTGATTTTAATAATAGCTTACTTTGGTAAAAAATTCGTGTATGTTAGTCAGATAAAAGATTGTTGTCATCTTCACATTGCGTTGAACTCTTCGTTCAAAAGCCTTGAAATCATTGTTGTGATATTTGTAAACTTAAAAACGTGAATATAACTATGAATACATTGTTCGAGGTAAAGAACACATTGTATATATGTATGTATGTCCATGTATATTTCATGTACATGTGTATATCAGTGAATATCCATGATAGTATATGTTCAACAAAGAAGAATGTAGGTCATGTATATCTGTGTATATTAGTGATAATATGGCTATGATATACACACGTGATATGTATTATCGAAGTAATGTTTTCCAAGTGAATTCCATATCTGCAATTTAATTTCAATCATGTATGAAATAACCTCCAATATACATGTGAAATTCTTACATGCACTACTAGACTATAAGCCTAAATAATTTTTGTTTCTATTTCATTTTTATACATAATTAAACTTTGAAAAATAATTTAACTTTAAGATTTCAACTCAGGTATTGTTCGAACACTAACGCAGTGTTTGATGGCATGGGAAACTGTGTTTGAAATGGTTGAGTGAGAATATGTTTGACCGTTGGTTTGGGCCATTGAGGCTGAATTTTCTTTTGGGCCTAGTAGAATCAATTTAATTGGGCTGGGCCGGGGCAAGCAATGGATGGGAATAATTTGGATAGGACTTAGATATTTTTACATGTAAAAATACAAGTGTGTTTTTTATGTGGAAAAATTGAAGTCCTATTCAATAATTTGGATAGGACTTAGGTATTTTCATATGTTAATACGTGTGTGTTTTGTAAGTGGAAAAATTGAAGTCCTATTCAATAATTTAGATAGGACTTAGATATTTTTACATGTTAATATAGGTGTGTTTTGTATGTGGAAAATCGAAGTCCTATTCAATAATTTGGAGAAAGAAAAAAATATAAATAATTTGAATTTCATGTGTGTTGGAAAACATTAAAAAGAAAAATCTAAAAATATATCATTTTCGTATCTATTCAAAAGTGACCACATAAAATCATTTCCTCCTTATTTTTCTGGAGAATATTTTATGTTTCTTTTATATCAAAAACATCATAAGAATATTTTACCATCAATATTTTGTATAAATTCGATTCATGCATCAAAATGTTTTTTTTCTTCTTAATTTTAATATCGAATTAAATTTTTTATTTGAAAACATAATTGAATTTCATTCCCCTAGAATCAAAGAATGATAATTGGTTGGGATAAAAAAAATACGTCATTGCCACCGTCTCATCTAACTTTTACCCCACTTCAACTTGTCTCTATTTTTTTTCTTTTAATAAATATAATAAAGACGGTTTTTTTTTCGAATTTAAAGACTATTACATACTACAATTTGCCTAGAATACATAATACCTAAATGTATATATATTTTCAAAAGATAAAATTACATAACCAGGGTATACAATAAAGCTCTAAATTTTTTAAATTCTTTCCAAGGCAGTTTGTAACTTTATTTACTTTCTTATGAGCTATGCTTGACTCGTAGATTTTCTACGCATTAATAACCTATTACTAATAATAAAAATAATATTAATATAATGAAGGTTATGATTAATATCGAACATAGATAATACTATATCTTTAACATCAATTTTAACTTTTACAAGGTGGAGAATATTTGATTCTTGTACCAAGTGAATGTCTATTTTAAGGTTAGGATTTCGATATAGGAATCAATCCAATTGGGTAATTCCTTGGTAAAGCTTCCATGATATGCTCTATTCATTTTTTTATTTTTCATTTGGTTTTCGATACCCGTATTGAAGTTCAACTAATTCGGATTCATCCTAAGTCTCTATTTAGGAGAAAGCGCTCCTATCGAGAATTTTTTTATATCCAGGACTTGAACCCAAAACTTCTAATTAAGGAAAGAGCTACCTCCCGCTGCACCGTATCTGTTAGTTTATACATAGTAAAAAATATGAGTTAATATCTCATATGGTCACTCAACTTTGAATAGTTGACTTAGAAAGTCACTCAACTTTGAGTAGTTTACTTAGAAAGTCACTCAATTTTATTTTACAACTCAAAAGTCACTCAATTATTGATATTTTACTTAGAAAGTCATCCAACTAATTTAAATAATTTCTTCATTAAATTTTGTTGAAATACAATTTTGTTTAAACTATTTTTAAAAAATAAATAAAAAATGCTCAGTTTAATTATTTTGTTAAACTTTGTTGAAATACAATTCTTTTTTAAAATAATAAAAGTTTGCTACTGTGCGTCTTTTTTATCTTTTTGATTACTCCTTTTAATTTAATAAAAGATTGTTAAACGTACCATAGCAATTGACAAATTAAAATTAAAATGTACTGTAGCATTGCTATTAATTTAATAAGAAAATAATAAAAGATTTCTACTATTTTAAACGTACAGTAGCAATTGAGAAAAAAACTTGCTATTGTCTTGCTAAAATTAAATATGCTGAAAAATGCTACTGTACGTTTATCAAAAAAAATTGTAAATAAATAATTGAAGTAGGTCAATAAGATAATTAAAATAAATATTTTATTAATTCTTAAAACTAATTTAAAATAAAATTTAGACTTCAACAAAATTTAATAAACAAATCATTTAAGTTTGTTGGGTGATTTTCTAAGTAAAATATCAATAGTTGAGTGACTTTCTAAGTGAGATATCAATAGTTAAGTGACTTTTGAGTTATAAATAAAAGTTGAGTAATTTTCTAAGTGAACTATGCAAAGTTGAATAATCATTTGAGATATTATCTCTAAAAAATATTAGGTTGTTTAACTGTTCTCACTTAATATAAGTTCTATATGATCAATGAATTTTAATCTCATTATATGTCAAGGATTTACTTAACAAATCTTCAAGAAAGAAAGTATTTGATTGTCAAAAAGAGTATGGTCATACTTCAATCTCTTTTTGAATATTTTATGAATTTATGAAATTTTTTAGATATATCTTCAAAGAAATATATTTATATAGACATGAAATAAAATTTAAAATAGAATAGTCTCCAAGCATCTTAACCAAAATATGATCTCCAACTTACGACTTACATTTTCCTTTTTTTTCATTACATCAAATATTTGTATGTTCAACAATTTCAAAACCGAGATACGTTTATTGCTGGGTTCTGGCCTGGTGAATTTTCCTATGGGCTTTCGTTCGGGTTAAAACAAAACCAAAAAGGAAAAAAACCCGAGAATATTCCATCGAACAATTAGGGTTTACTATGTAAAGTGTCACCGACCCGTTACCGTATAAATACCCCTTCTCCGTCTTTTCACTAAAGTGCCGCGTACTGCTATTTGTTAATCCTCACACCATACTTGAGCAAACATCAAAGAAGCAAAAATGGAGCAGACTTTCATCATGATCAAGCCTGACGGTGTCCAACGTGGCCTGGTTCGTCTTCCTAAATCGTGTTTCTTTAAGATCTATCACTTTGAGCTTTGATTCAGTGTGTATTTTTGTCTAATAAATGTTATATATTGTCAATTTGTATCTTAGTTTACTAAATCCTTGATAAGGCAGGCTTTTTTTTTTCTTTTCTTACTGTGCACTCATTTGAATGTTATGCTTCAGGTTGGTGAGATTATCGGCAGATTTGAGAAGAAAGGATTCTCTTTGAAAGGTAAAATTTAATCAATTATTACAAAGTATGATTAATTTAGTACTCGATTTATTTAGTGTCCCAATTACATCACAAAAATCTTATGATTAGTCAGGACCCACACTGCAATGATTTTTCAGTTGGAGATTTGTTTCTTTTACATAAGAGTAATATGGATTGGAACAGTCTAGTATGTTTACTTTGCCTCCTTGCGTAATTATTATTGCTCTTTGCAAATGCCACATTATCCAGCTAATGTGTCATTGTTACCGTTAAAAGAATTCTCTCTGTAGTGTTGTATTTTGAATTTATTTTGACTGTAATTGTTGATTTGGTTGTGATTTTTTACTTTGCATGTATAAAGGCTTGAAGCTCATCACTGTGGACCGTGCCTTTGCTGAGAAGCATTACGCTGACTTGTCTGCTAAGCCTTTCTTTAATGGGCTTGTTGAGTATATTGTTTCTGGACCTGTTGTTGCTATGGTCTGGGAGGGTAAGGGTGTAGTTGCCACTGGCAGGAAGATCATTGGAGCAACCAACCCCTTGGAGTCGGCTGCTGGTACCATCCGTGGTGATTTTGCTATTGACATTGGCAGGTAAAACATCTGTGTATATGAATAAACTATACTAATTCAAGATCTACTTGTTATGTTAATGTTTATTTCCCTTCTCTAGAATAGGAGCTTGGTGATGTTTACTATTTTTCTGTTCAATGTTGATTTTGCTTATTGCCCGCACCTTAACCATAGTGCTGAAGTCTAAGACCCTGACCTGTTTGATTACAGGAATGTTATTCATGGAAGTGATGCTGTTGAGAGTGCTAGGAAGGAGATTGCTCTTTGGTTCCCCGAAGGAATTGCAGAGTGGCAGAGCAGCCTTCACTCATGGATCTATGAATAGAAAAGTTTTATGAATTTAGAACTCTTTCTGTGGTCTTGCCTGTTTGGTTTTAACTTATGAATTTTGTATGTCATTTGAGTCCAGAAGTTTGGTATTTGAGACTTAATGATGTGATATTTGATCATTTTGTTTATGTGTTGCACTTTCAAGTAAGTGTGAGCTTTCATCATTTGTTTGCTTCACATTTTTCTTTATTCTTGTTAAAAGAAAAAAGCGTCTTAAAATTTTGTTTCAAAAGTCAGTGTAACGTCAAACAATGTTCCTTAACTGTATGCTGTGGCTATAAATGGTACTCCCTCTGTCTCATTTTACATGAGGTAGTTTGACTCTGTACGGAGTTAAAGAAAGGAAGACTTTTAAAATTTGCGATTCAAAATAAATGATAGAAATTTGTGTGGCTGTAAATCATTTCATTAAGGATAAAATAGACATTTCATAGTTAAATTGTTACTTAATATGGAAATGTGTCATTCTTTCTGGGACTGACTAAAAAGGAAAGTAAGTTGTATAAAATGGGACAGAGGGAGTAGTTGGCAACATGTTTGTGTGCAATATGCACTAAGATTTGGTAACTTTAGTGCTTGTGGATGTGAGTTTTGGTTCATAATCATATTGTTGCTGCAATCGACTTTGGTCTGAAAGAGGTCAGTATTTTGGAGCTTGGTCTCTGCTAGCATAAAAACCAGTGTGAAGTTTGGCCTATTTATTTCTTGTTAGGTGTACACTGAAAATAGCCAATATAAATAAAATAGAAAATGAAGGCGTGGAATAACTGCCACAGTTGAAATGTAGAATTCTTGCACTTAAGAATTGTCTATAGTTCAGGCTGTCGGTACTTGTTCTCGCTGCTCATGGGCTGGCAAGTACACATCAGCCGGTTTATGCTAGAAGGGGTTGTTACTGTATGCTGAGTAATGCGCACTAATTTGGTGCTATGATACAAAAGACCCAGGTTGTGTTGAGGTGACTGCTTAATCAACAGATGTTGTAAGTTGACTTGACACTAACAAGGGAACACTCTGTTTTGGGCAAGTGTACATCCCAAGATGGATCCTCCTTTTGACATGACCTCACAAGTCACAAGTGGGTCGGAAGGCAACCATAGAAGCCGTTCAAATTTAATTAGATTCCAACAGGATTCAAGATATAAGATGAATATAGGTCCCGTTGATATCACAATCTCTTTCAAGGATCAGTCAGTTTACACGGACACGTCTTGGTCTAAAGTCTTACAAAGTCTTGTTTATAGACAGACTATTGATGGTTACCACCTTACGAGTTAATTAAAGAGAAAGGTAGTCTCTGAAGGCAATCTTTGAATTCCTACCATCACTACTGAGACCAATCATCAGGTGTGACCCTTTCCAAATTCAAGAAACAAGGGAATAACATTGTACTTGCTCTAACATTAATCCCCATTTTCCCTATCCGCTGAATTCTACAAAGTAAACACCCACCCATCAAAAGCTACTACGTAACAACACCACCAATAAATGCCACAAAACATGCATACGGAAGCCATATTCTCATTTTCTTAAAAGTCATGCCTACAAACACTATCGACTAAGAAGGTTGTATGATGGTAAATCTTCTAGCCGTGTAATGTCTTCTTGCAGAAGCTCCTCTTCTAGTTGACGACGAGTAGCCTTCATGACCGCCTGCCAGAACATAGCATATCTAAAATCAGGACTCTAAATTCACATGTAGTGTACTACCAAGTAGTATGATATCCATAGTGAATTTCTCTGATTGAACCCAATACCAACTAGATAAATACACCAATAAAGAGTCACAACAAACATGTTACTCAGAAACCACAATCGCCAGTAAAAGCAAAATTGCAGGCTGCTCTGTACCAAGGATTTCACATCTCTTTGATATTAAGATAATGCTAGCCAAAGTGAAACAATTAAGAAAGAATTTAAGTGAAAGAGACATGAAAACTTTTTCAAATGCAAAAGAACTGGATTAGGTAGCAGCAGAATTTGATCATTCCATATCCATAACTGAATATCAGTAAGCTGAAAATACATACATTGAAGTCCATATATGATGCGCGCATGGCAAGCCACTGATTATCCATCAGCTTAAATGTGATGCAATATAGCAGATCAAACGCTGATTCATTTTCTGTAAAAAGGAAACAACTTTGCTTAGAAGAGCAAAGGATAAATGCAGATGAAAGTACGACTTCACATTTATGAAGGACTAAATGGAGATTCACTGACTTCTCTTATTTAACACAGAAGAGAAGTAGAAACAAAAAGACACATCTACACGCAGTAATGAATGCATCAAAATGAAAGAGAAATTAGCAGCACTATACGAAAACCTGAAAGTAGAGACAGATCTCAAAAAAAATGTACCTGCAAGAAACTTCAAGAAAGTAGCTCCAACCAGATTTCTAGGTTTTACTGCAGAGATAAAAACACAATTAATTACGTATATCAAAACAAGTTTGCAGGGAGAATTAAGCATCTTTGGTTGGACTATATACTTGTGCATGAGAGACTCTGTATTGATTGTTAGAAACTCAAATCTCATTTTTCATTAGAAGGGCCTACTTAAAAGCATATAGTCTGGAATTTTGTCGAGACTTCACAACTTTGAGTATATAAAAGAGTGTAGATGTGGTACACGTACAAGCTTCCAGATCGAGCATCTGGATAAGCATAAATGTGATATTGACGCCAGCAACAGCGAATGGGTATTCCCAAATTGCTCTATCACCTTCCTGCTTTCGGAGAAGATCCTGGAAAGATTTCTGCAAATAAAATTACGAAAAGAGAATAAATAGATGAATCTAGAACTTTATACTGCTTGTACGTCGCATAAGCATTCTATTGGTTAACTGAAACTTACTTCTGAACAATCTGTCATTCACAGATTTCCAATTATTTCACATAAAATCAAGATAATAATGTGCACTTCTTTAGATAATTGTTGGTGTGGTAAAAACAGAAATTGCTGAATTTTTGTTCATGGATGTTATAGTATGCTCTAGTGAATCTTTCTCCAAGTTAACACAAAGCCCTTTGTTTTGCTAATAGTAGACACTCAAATATTTCACATAAAATGACAAGATACAGAGTGGGACAGATCAGTTTTGTTGATTCATAGATGCCTGAATAATAGGACCACATTTCAAATTTAATTGTACAAATTTGAAGGCCTCATATTCACCTGAGCAAGTTATTCAAAGGGAGAATAAAATTTGCAATTTAGGCAGAATTATTTTAAGAAATTCATTGAACATCAAGCCAATCTTTTCTGAAAAGTATTTAATAGATCTATCAAAGTTCATTATCTCGATCATCCATTCCGTGATTTTCTTCAAGGCTTACCATAGAGAAAAGTAATTGAAAAACACTTAACTTCTAAATTAAATGATTATTGATTAAGACAAATATCTGTACCTTCTCCTGAATGTAACTTTTCTAGTCAGGATACATACGATATATAAACCACTTACGTCATCATGTCACACAATCCAACATCACAAAACCAATTCAGATTTGACATCCAAGGCATAATTTTGTGCTAACTTTGAGGGTCTCCAAATACACAACTTTCCAACTAAATATATACGATCCAGCAAAAGTTAGGGAGTGGGAAAATATTGTTGCACATAGATTTGTTTTTTATTTATGGTACCCCCACCCC